TTTGCCTCCCTTCGCATCTTTCTCCTGCTAAAGGTGATGGAGATGGAGGACGCGGACTACCAGACAAAGCCCTCCTCTGTTCCCTGTTCCTTCTTTCAGTTTTTCACCCTCATCATGATCGCCTTTTGGATCTTCATCACCATTTCCATTTCCAGCAATCTTGACGACACCGTGAAAAACTTTGAACAAATCTTCAAAAGCAAGATGGAGGTGTACGCAAACTTCTCCTCGCAACACACTATGATTGAGATGGACAAGCTGCAGCAGACCTTTCGATGTTGCGGCGCTTCGGGCTTTAATAGCTGGTTCAAGCTGGACCTGTACAAGTTCCTGCGAGAAAACCAGTCGGAATACGTCACGTTGTACTGGGAAAGGTTCAAGGAGTGTCATTCAATCGGTGGTGTCTCTTTGGACATTTTCAAAAGGCGTCATTCTACAGAAGAGAGGGAGAATGAGCGCATCAATTCAGTGCCTTTCAGTTGCTGCTCACCGGATTCGGAAAGCCTGTGCATGTTCTACAACCACAACAACCACTTCCCGTACTGGGAAAAGAGTTACGAGCACACACTGTACAATACCTCCTGCATGGACACGGTGAAGCCGAAGCTGATGACACTGGGGCTGAAGATCGAGTCGCTCTACTTCTACCGCCTCCTCCTCGAGGTGGCCATGTTCCTGGTGATGTGCGTCGTGCAGAGCTCCTTCGACTCGTACCACGAGAACCACCACCGACCGTCCATCGCCACGCTTCCCCTCTGCTGGGCTCTCTTCGCCATCATCGGCCTGACGTACTTCTACTGCAATTTGAAATTTTTCCTCTGGAAGTACAGCTTCAAGGTCTTCCTTGGCCTCGATTCCAGCAAGCTGGTCGATCTGGCCACCTCACTGCAAACACTCGGTAACACCACTTCAAACAGCACCGACCCAAAACAGGGTTGAGGAGGTTCATTGACGAAATGTTCATTTACTATGTACATCCTTATAGTAGTAGTATAACAGGAACAACATTTATAATATATAAGCCGATAGTGATAACATAGCGGAGGGAGCAATCTTTCGACTACAGAGAAAGTGCTCTGAGAGCATACCTCTTCTAGAGAATGGTCTCAAAGTCGGCCTTGCGGCGCTTTGAGGTGCTCTCCCCTCCCTCGTTACCGCTAGCCTTTTCCGCCATTGTTCGATCTTCTTGTTCGCCGGCAGAGTAGGCCAGGTTATCGTTTTGATTGTACGTCAGTTTACTGCTAAGTGACTCTTTCTTCTTTTCGGCGTTCTCCAGGTACTGCACCATGTCTGGGTTGAGCCGCTCCAGTGTGTCTACGCGGTACTTCGCCAGACGCAGCTCCTTCAGCGTCCGCTGTCGCCGGTCCTCGCAGTGTCGATTATCGCAGATGAACTCATCGTGGAAGTCCATGTTGTGGTGGCCAAAGCGAAGTGATCGGGCCAAGCTCTGCGGAAGGCAGCAGACACCAACATTACACAAATGCCCGGCCCTAACCGAACTGTCCCCAAGCACTTACCATGCTGACGAGCGTAAAGCAGGCGTCCTTCTCCGTCCTCGCCAGACAGTGTCGACAGTAGCGAAAGTAGAGGTGCTCCAGCGCGAGGAGGACCACCGTGAGGAGGATGCCACAGCCGAGGAGGAGGAAGGCGCTCATGAACTGATTCACATCGAGCGGCTTGGAGATGTTGCGCTTGTTCTTCTGCGACTTGCACGCCCCCTGGAACCAGTACCGACGCAGTCGCTCCAGGTCACCTGTGAAGTGGTAGTGAGCAGATTTGAAAAAATACACTTGAGCCCTTTTTCTCTCCCTTACCATTCTCTCTGTATTCAATCATCTTTTTGTTGAACTTCTCTAGGTACTTTGAGTCTTTTGCCATCGCAAAACCATAGCCCGTCATTGCGTACCAACTTCCGACGGTCAGCAGGCCGCACTCGTTATCTTCACTGTAAAAGGTTATGATTGAAAAAATGATCAACATTGAAAAAACTCCTTACCCAACGAGATGGTCTAGGACGACTGCATCGTAGATGAATGCATCCAGTTCGCTGCAACATAAAAAGCATTAAATATATGCAAATATCACCAAAGAGTGACCAAAACAAACCCCTTCTTGATGGCGGCCATTCCTTCATTAGCCTTGGACCTGTTGAAGGGCAGCATGTACTTGAACATGCGTGGCTTATTGCGCTTCAGCACCTGCTCCGTATTGCCAAAGGGAATGGTGCCAAACTTGAGCGGGGGATCACTGTGCGTCGGATTGGCGAGCTTCTTATCCTCGATGCCAGTGAAGTCGTGGTACTCCTCTCGGGTGATCATGAACGCCGCCAGGTTGGCAGTGTAAATGGCGAGGAAGACCACCGCAAAGGTCGCCCAGGTGTTGGCCATGAAGCGAGCAGTGTAGCCCTTTGGGCAGTCCACGTGCACCGCAGCACCGAAAAGTATCGCCCATACGAGCCAGTACGTTCGCAGCAGAGAGAACTTGTGGTCTGGTGAAGAGATTCAAAAAAGATTATAGCGCATTTGTTGGTAAATTGTTTGTGGTAAATCAAACCTCTAGGATGTCTCATCTCCATGTCGTAGCCGGACGGACTGAGCCACTCAAAGAGAAAGATGGCAAAAACGGCCACTTGAATGCTGACGAGGAGGATCATCACCCAAGAGACGACATCGAATGGCTCTG